GGGGCCGCGGGTCACGTGCTCCGCCCTCAGGCCTCGGGGGCGGGGCCTGCCCCGGCCCCTCCCGCGCTCCGCCTCCCGCCGTGGAGATAAAACCAAACCCTCGCACCCCTGGGAGGTGTGGGAGGTGGGTTCTGGTCCGTATCTAAAAGCCCATCTAGCCTAAAATGCAGTTCCGCGGCCTGTGCAGCTCTACATACCTGCCCCCGCCTCATGCCCACCCTCACCCGGCTTGTTCAAGCCAAGGGGCCTTTGTTATCAGACCCCTCCGCAGGAGTGCTTCATTCAGACCTCACTCGCTGGAGCCTGCCCTGCCCCCAGGAGTGTTTCTCCCGCACTCTCTCCACCCCATGGCTTGTTTTATTTATTTGTCTCACTTAGCATCTGAAATCTTATCGAGTCCCGCAATAAATAGCTTACGAACTCCGAGAGAGGCAAAGGGTCTTGCCTTGCTCTGATGCTCAATATTTAGGCCTAGGGAATTGGGTTGCTGGGAGGGAGATTCCCCCCCCCCACCCCCCGGAGGTTGTGAAGGTGGGGTGGCACTGTAGTCCCATCTGTCTCACTCCCAATTGTCGGGCAGAGTCCCATGGGAGCAGGGGGCCCTTCACCCTACCCAAGAAGCTATGGCAGGTTCACTTGCCTGGCAAGGTTCTTCTCTAGGCACAAGTTGAGATTCAGATTTCCACACTCTCCCAGGCACCCACACATCCCTCCAGCTGCCTTTCTCACGCCATAACTCAGCCAGGCATCTGTCCCCAGCACTGACTCACATGCCAAAAATGGTCTTCTGCTGCCCTTCCACTAGGTAACGACACAGTGAGAAGACACATTTGCTGGTGCCTTGATCTTGCACTTCCCAGCCTCTACAACTGGGAGGTAAATTTCTGTTTACTTATTTATTATTTTAAAATATATCTTTATTGATTTCAGAGAGAGGGAGAGAGGGGGAAACATCGATGATGAGAGAGCCACTGACGAATTGCCCCCTGCACGCCCCCCCGCTGGGGATCAAGCCCGCAACCCAGGCATGTGCCTTGACCAGGAATCGAACCTTAATCTCCTGGATCCTAGGTCGATGCTCAACCGCAAAGCTACGCCTGACCGGGCTATTATTATTTTTTTTTAATCCTCACCTAAGGATATGTTTTTATTGATTTGAGAGAGGAAGGGAGAGAGAGAGAGAGAGCTATCAATGTGAAAGAGAAACATCGATTGGTTGCCTCCTGCACCCACCAGAACTGGGGATAAAACCCACAACCTAGGTATGTGTCCTGACTGGGTATCGAACCTGCAGCCTTTTGGTGCACAAGATGATGCGCCAACCAACTGAACCACAAGGACAGTGCCTCTGTTTATTTTTATTTTTTACCCTCACCCAAGGAATGAGGATATTTTCTCCGCTGATTTTTACAGAGTGGGAGGGGGAGATAGAGGAGACAGAGAAAAACACTGATGTGAGAGACATCGATTAGCTGCCTCCCACACACATCCCAACCAGGGGCAGGGATGGAACCTGCAACCCAGGTACATGTCCTTGACAGGGAATCAAACCCACCACCCTCCAGTGCATAGGCCAACGCTCTAACTACTGAGCCATGCCAGTCAGAGTTGTTATTTTTAAAAAAATATTTTGTCTTCTGCCAAGGCCTTGCTCTACTTCCTAGAGATCAATCAAAAGATAGAGCAAAGTCCTTAATATGTTACCTTTCATATGTAAGAAATGCTTAAATTCAAAAGAAAGCCTCTAGTCCACAGCCTTTCCTTCCCCCTTTCCCTCAGGTGCATTACTTTGCCCTTCTCTCTCCTAAGCTCCAAGGGCCAAACGAATGACTGTCTTTGGCAGGTGCTCTGAGGTCTTCCTCACCTTCCCATTGCCCCACCTGTGCAGAAGAGGGAAAAGCACAGGAGGAATAAATGAGTGGTATTAGTGGACAGGGGCCAATAATTGCTTCAGATACCGCGTATCATCTAAACCAGACTTATTTTGAAATTGAATTGTTTGTGACCTTAAACATGGATATACATTTTATATTAAAGGTGTGCAAGTTTCCTAAGAGAGAGAAATCAGACAATGGCTGCAAGGGGCTGGTGTGGAAGGAGGGAACTGGCCACAAACACCGGGAACTTGAGGGAACTTTTTAGGATGATGGAAACGCCCTGTATCATGATTGTGATGGGGGGGAAGAAGACTGTATACATTTCTCAATATCATCAAACTGTACTCTTAAATGAAGTGAATTTTACTATAGTTAAAGCACACCTTAACTTTTAAATATGAATATAAACTTTTAATTCCCAAAGGCCCCAAGCAAAATAAAGCAAAAATATTAAACCTAAAGCCCAATATTGTTCCCCAATTACCCTAGAAACCAGCTATGCTCAAACTATTTACAGAAAGGCCACCCCCATCCCATACCTGCTCCATCCAGCAACACAAGAGGCCCAGTCAGGAGACAAGAGAGGGTACATATACTGTGAAAATCTTTTATTTCTGTCTCTTATGGTAAAATAACATTTTATACAAATAAGTCACCTAGTTTACTCTGGACATAAAGAAAATAAAAACTGGAATGAGGGAGATGCGCCCGCCCCTCCCCCGGGAGACTGTTGCCATCGGCCAACCCCTGCTCCACTGTAACCACATGCGACTGAAAGGTGATCAAAAATGCCCCTATGTCGGAGGAGATGCAACAGGACTCCGTGGAATGTGCCACTCAGGCGTTGGAGAAATAACAGAGAAGGCTGTTGTGGCCCACGTAAGGAGTTTGAAGTGCGTGCTCCCTCCCTCTCAGAAGCTCGCCTGTGCCTTTCCCTTCCCCTTCTTTTTCCCCCCAAATGTGTTACCCTTTTTTTAAAAACAGTATGTTTTTATTGATTTTAGAGAGTGAGGAAGGGAGAGGGGGAGAGAGAAACATCAGTGATGAGAAAGACACATCAACATCTATCAGCTGCCTCCTGCACGCCCCTACTGGGGATCGAGCCTGAAACCCAGGCATGTGCCCTGACCAGGAATTGAACCAGGACCTCTTGGTGCATGGGTCGACACTCAACCACTTAGCCACACCAGCCCGGCCAGATGCTACATTTGCCTTTCTCTGGCCTAAGCTCCAAGGGCCCTTCTGCTTCTGTAACTTGTTTCCTGAGCCTACGTAGCCCAGCTGGCTCACTTCTAGTGTCTCTTATAATTTGGAAGAGAAAAAAAAAGAGTTTGACAAGAAGTACAACCCCACCTGGCACTGCATCATGGGGAGGAACCTCGGTAGTTACGTGACACATGAAACCAAACACTTCATCTACTTCTATCTAGGCCAAGTGGCCATTCTTCTGTTCAAAACTGGTTAAAACCCCCACACAACCAGTGATCCATCCAAAAATAAGGATTGCAGCCTAAATTCCAAGTACCAGAGACTGAAATCTTCAGCTTGCCTGAAGGAACACCTTGATCTTGAACCATTGTGGTGGTTTGTACAGGGCATTCTCTGTACTCATTTGTTGTGGTTATAAAACAATTAGCAAAACAGAAAAAAATAAAAACTGGAATGAGGATCTCAGGTGAAGGGGAAAACAGAGGGACAGATCAGGTCATTGATGTTTCTTATATTCTGTGAAAAAATAGATTTACAAGGGAAAAAATACTTTCACAACTTCAATAATGTTACATGATCCTTGTAAAACAAGGGATAAATTCACCTCCAGCAGGTCCTTCTGTGGCTGAGACGGTCTATCACATGGAATGTAACATAACAGCTCATGATTAGGCTCCCACACAGGTACAGCAGCACCCTCTGCATCAGGAATCCTCATGCACTGGCACAGCGTCTGTGCTGATTTCTAGGACAGACAGCCTCTACCCCACAAACCTCCTGGTGACAATGGCCACCAGAAGAAAGTGACTTTACAGAGGAAAAGGAGTACCCTGGGAGCCTACCAGGGTGGCAGAACATACTAAGGCAAGACTCACCCTATTTGTACATTAGACACAGCTTATTGTATCCACTCCACAAATGAGATCCACTTCAACTAAAAAAATAAGTTGAAGATTCCCCAGTCACGGCCATTTCAAGAATCACCAGTTTATGTTAGACCCAACATTCCCAAATCACTGCCCTTATTTGGGATTCAGATGGCCCAACAATGATGGCTGTCTTCAGGAAATCCTATATGCCCCTGAAAACTACCTTCTCTGCAAGATAACCTGGAGTTAACACATAAGGAGAGGATAGCCGACTTTAGCCCAAAACTACTAGTGTTATTTCCCACTTATTCTTTAGAACACAGAGTAAAATAAACCAGGATCTTCTTTGGAGAAGCAAGAAGGGAATCTCAGCCCAAAGGCTTCACAGGAAAAGAGAGGTTCTCTCCCAGGCGGTTCCAAGGCAGAGGGAAAAGAGCAAAACAGGAGTGGAAGCAGGCCCTGTGGCACCAAGTGGGCCCCCCAGGAGCTGTCTCTCAGATGCCAGCTCTGAAAAGAGAGCATGGCCTTCTGTGCAGGGGCTCTTTCCCTCCCATTGTATCACCCACAAGATAACGGCCATCAGCAGTCCAGATTCCTTCCTAACATGGCCTCCTGTGCTGATTAAACTTTTGATTGGTTCAGATACTTTCAGAGAAAGTATGCCTTCCAATTCTCTGCCCAATTCAGGTACAAAAGCTTGACTTTCAAACTCACCCTGGTTAATGCCCCAGAGTGGTGGTGCTTCTCAAGATTTCCTGAGCAGCTAGACATAAGAATCCAGTCTCAGGTAAAGAACACCAGACCTCCAGTTGCAGAAGATGGCAAACCCTGTCCTACTGGGCAGCTTGAGCACTTGGCCTAAAAACGGTCCCCATGGAGACTAAGGCAAGTCAGTGGGGAAGAGGACCCAGCACTCTTCCACCCAGAGTGCCTGCCTCCTCTGCCTGCTGTTCCTCCTCAAAAAAGCAAATACTGAGGATAAGAATCCACAGTGTACAATGACACCGTCTGCCCTGGGACGCATTTCCAAGACACACTCTACTGAGCAGAGCTCTGGGCAGCTCCAGAAACCACATCCTAGTTGCTAATTAAATATCAAATAGTAGAAACTCTCCCGATTGGGCTTCTGTCACAGATGGGGGTTTCTGAAGCTCGACAGGAACAATGGCTAGAGGAGCCACGATGAGAAAGAGGAGGACAGCAGGCAGTGCTGATGTCTGCCCGCAGATGGGAAGGAAATGAGGGTGAGGCAGCCTTCCCCAGCAGCATATGGGATAGAGCCCCACGTAAGGCACCTGGATTTGTAGTGGGCTCCAGTTCTGAGATTTCCCCCAGTCTGCAGGGTGCATGGTCTCTTCCTTCCCTCATTGGTTGGATCCAGTGCTGGCACACAAGGCTAACCGAGGGCTTTGCTGTTAGCATCTGGCACAGCATAGACTCTGGCCTGGCACAAAGCACTGGGTCGAGGTTCAAGACACTCACGCTCTAGAAACCAAACTGGGAGCAACACTGGTCCATGAATGCATAGGGGTTTCTGTGGCCCAGTGCTGGCCCTCTTTCCCTGGCCCCACACTTTGGGAAACAGCTCTCCTATCACAGTCACTGTGGCAGTGACAGTGACTATTACCACATACCTGGGACCTTCCTACAGATACCTTCCTAATCAATGCTAAATCCTGGCCACAGCAACAATCTTCCTGGAATGGGCTGAGCACCTAAAGCCACCCACACAGACAACTGCAGGAAGGAGGAGGTGAGAGTCTACCCAATAAAGGCCTAAGGATAAAAGTAGCAGGATGTGCAAGAAGTTTTTCTGAAAACACATCTCTCTGGAACGGGTGAAACAGGCTAAGGGGTCTCACACCCAAAAAGATTCCAACTAGCAGTTTGAAGGATTAGATATGCATTACTTAGATCTAACTTGCCAGGATGGTTCCAGAAACTACTTCAGTAGAAAGGCAGATAGAAAAATCCTCCTAAATAAGAAATCTACACAGAGTTTTAGAGGCAAATTCCATCAAAAGCCAATCTTCCAGGCTATGCTGTGAAGAGAAAATTCAATGCCTCCTTTAAGCAGCTGCTGGTTCGTAGCTATACCAGCCCCAACGTGAGCCAGATCCGCGCCAAGAGCCTGAACTATGCTATAAGTCTAACTGCACATCACATATGCTGGGAACACCACTGACATTTTATAAAACCTCCCAAAAAGAAGCCTGGAAAAAACACACAATGCGGCCTGCTCTGGCCTCGAGAGATGACTATTCCAACAAAACCAACACATTCTGTTTCAGAAGATACTCAAAAATTAGGAGCAGGAGAAGCAGTTAGCTCCTCTTTCCTCCAGAATAATAACAGGAAGGCACTGCCTGGATGAAACCTTGCTGAATCCCCGCGGGGACTGGCTGGGGATCGTGCAAGTCAAACAGAGAAGCAGGCCTCGCCCTAAAATGGACCTTTCAGTGTGGAGCCTTACCCAGCCCCAGTGCCTTACCTTTTGGCACCACTCCTCCCCTCCATCCCCTTTCAAGTTTCTTTCCATTTGGTTTACAACTATGCACAGGCTGAGGTCAGAATGTGCTGATGGCAACACCGGAAATAAGAGCAGATGCCTGGAAGAGGCTGACCTTGCAGCTTCCCATAGCACCCAGGAACCTATAGAAGAGCTCTAACCTGCAGGCATGCCAGCCAGAGCCTCCTCACCCGGGCACAGCTCTGCCAGAGACCCAGACTCGTCAGGACAACCAGTAGGCAGCTATGACTACATGAAAATAACTTTCTTTTTTATCTGGATTTGAGAAATCTTATCCTAATCTTTTACTTTACTATATAGTACTGCTGTGACCTAAGAGGCAGGGGAAAAAAGGAAAGAAAAAATACTGGGGAAGGAAACAGCACTACTTGGCACCTCTCTTGGAGCACAGGGAACTGCCACCTGGCCTTGGCTTCCTGGGGCCAGGTTCCAGGTGTGTGACATACAGCAGCTTTAACCACTTCCATGTGCCAGGACCATGGGCCGCAGCAAAGCACCTCCCCTGTCCAGTCCCACAGCAGTTACTGGCCTCCGTTATAGGCATAATCAGCCTTGTTGTGCATTATCAGCTTGTTGTCAACAAAGTAGAAGCTGTCAGAACGGGTCTCGTAGGGATTTTCAATCATCAGACGAACTGCAAGTCAGGGAAAGGAAGAAAGCAAAGACTTAATGCGTGAGTCTGCCCCACGTTCTAGGTGAAAAAAACCTTAGTATCCCCTCTAAAATGCATAAGCTGGTCCTTCTGGAATATGTGAGTGTACTGTCCCAGAATACTGAAGTCAGAACAGGGGGAGCCAGCCTTTGAGAACTGGGGACCACAGAGGCCTCAAAACTGAACCTGATACCCACTTCAACATACGGATGCAATCAACTCCTCAAAGGCCCTCCTTGGTCATCCCAGCCAGATTCTGAGTCAGCACCCAGGGGATGTGCTTACCATTCTGCCAACACGGACCACAGCAACTTATTTACTCAGTGCTCCTCTGTTCACCTAGACATTCTGGTCCAAACACAAAAAGCTGTGCCTCACTAGGCCACTGCTCACAGGCACCCCGGCAACCCGAGGAATCCTAGGTGAACGTGAGTGCAGGGGAACCGAGGGCAAGGAGCTTTCTCCAGAGATGGCTCAGGGTGTTAACTTGGAAATGTTGCAGCAAAAGGTCTGTCTTGGGATCCAGATTTAAATCTTATTTGTTCAGGCAACTGCCCAGTCCTCTTTAACCGTGCGGGAGAGTCAAGATAATTAAACAGCCACTATCTCTGACCAGTTTGGAGTTAATGATTACATGCTATTTTGAGGCCTCTGGAGGAAATGTTATTTTCACCACAGTTCTAAAAAGGTAAAACTGATTGTTGAAATTTCTTGAAATCTACCCAGGCTAAAGTTATTTGGTTTATATGCAGAATGTTGATCTCTACACGCTTTCAGCTTATTTGATTTCAAGAGGGGAAGTTGTATTGCCTTTAGTAGAAACTTAAAATGCTACACATAATCTTTTCTTATAAGTATCTACAAATTCCAGCCCATCTTAGGGAGCAGGGGTCAAACTGGGTTCAGATTCCTCACAAACACCCTGCCCCACATTTCACAACCCTCATTTTACCTGGGAACAGCAGTGCCACATGAATAGAGGACCTGGTTGTCAGAATGTGACAATTTTAAGGACCTTCAGAGTCTGAGAAAACTAGTCAGAAGTAGATCCCTCCCCACAACCCAACTAAATTCCACCACTATTCACAGGATCCCTTGCACATCCTCAGTGTTCTGGGGCAATTTTCTCTAATTCCTAACAGGATGCTAACCTGAGAGTCAGGCCAAAGTCATAGAAACTGGAAGAGCCTGTTCCTTCCCTCTCACAGGTCCGCCTCATCCTTTGCCTCGGGTGCTCTCTGTGCTTTCCCCAGTCCTTCCTCCATACAACCACAGGATTTCTCTTCCTAAGACACTGCTTCTGCCATGTCACTCCTGCTCCAAAGCCTGTAACAGCTCCCCAGCTCCTGCTGAATCTGGTCTAACAGTTTCTTCATCAACCTTCTACTTGCAGGGAATGAGCAAGAGGAAGTCCCCAGACATATGATTCTATTTAGCCCAGTTTCACATCTAGCTGTGATTAACGAAAAAGTGAGAGTGCCGAGTGCCAAGCACGGATGAGCAGAACACAGTGGGAAACCATGACTAACAGTGCACAGGAGAGGTGGTGCATCTAATCAGAGTCCCAGGGATTGTCACGGGCCTCCTCTTATCTCCCTCAGTCACGCCCTTTCCCACAGCAGGGAGATAGCCTGTGTTATTAAAACCTTCCACCCTCATATGGGCAGTGTCAGAGTTTGAAACATTGCACAGGAGCAACAGGAAATGAGAAGCCTGAGGTCAAATGACTAGAGATGGATGCATCATGTCACTATTTCCTGCCTCTGCAAAATGAGGGCGTTGGACCAGGTGGATTTCAGGGTTCCTTCCTTCTAGCCCAAGAATCTAGAATGCTGTACAAGTCGGAATACGTACTGACATCCTCAGAAAGCTGCGGAAACTCATAGATATGTTCACAAGTGTTCCTGCTGCTGGGGATGCAGAAGCCGAAATCAAAGTCAAAATTTTTCAGCAAGCGCTCTCGGAAATAGTGCCGTTCGATCATCCGGAAGTTTGACACAGGTTTGTCTCCCACGGTGAACTCCACCCTGCAAAATCAATCTCTGTGAGCCCTACTTTGTCCCCTCCCTCCTCTAAAGCCAACCCCACTGAGAACATTCTTCTCTGTAACCAAGCAGAACGTGCTCCCCTCAGGAAGTTCTGGTACTCACGTAGCCCCGACTGTCCGGAGGCGGAGAAATGCTGGTGTGAACTGATACCGGACAAAACGTCCCGCGCTGACATCCGCATCTCCGCCTTCCTCCTCCTCCTCCTCCTGGTCTGAAAGGCACAGAACCCTGAGCACCACCAGTCCAAACAGCACAACCAACTGTACCACCACCGCCAGCGGGACGGCCGGTATTTACTATTCACCTGTTATGTGCCAGTCCTGTGCTACAGGCTGCAGAGAAGCCTCACAATTGCCCTAAGAGGTATCACTATCACCACCATTTTACACATCAGGAAGCTCAGGCACAGAGAGGTTAGTAAGATGTCCAAAGTCTCCCAAACAGTAAATGGAGGGAGCAGGGATTTGAATCTAGGTCCATCTGACTGAAGGCCTGTTGACCAAGTTGATGTGTCAGCCACTAACCAAAAAAATAAGACTAAAGAAGCTGAGACTAATCAAAAGGCTCCTCTGGGGAATGCAAACATTTCTGACACGTAGCAAAGACAAACCCCTAGAAAGGATTCTGTTTAAATGGAAGACACTGACCTACAGCCTTGGAGGACTGTACTTCCTTGGACTGGAGCCTATTCCAGGCCACACCAGGCCCAACACTGACTCCCTGGGAAAGGGTGAAGCAGACTGGCAGTGAACCAATGTGTGGGACCTGAATGAGGGTACACAAGGTAATGATGGTCTCTGGTCTAGTTCCAGGAAATGAAAGATTTGTAAAATGAATCAGAAAACCATTCTAATATGAACAAAAAGATAGTTCCCTCTACAAGCGACCCAGTGTCCAGCAAAGATATTTTCTCCAGGTCTAGGCTGAACATGGGTGCAACACAAGAGAAGTCTTTTTTAGCATCAAACATCTTTGCCTGTGACAAGCCCAAGAGCAATTGGGAAACCAGCTTGAGTAGGGTTTGTACCCAAAGACTCTTGAGCCCTGGCTCCAACCATGTGATTCAAAGAGAGTCAGACCAAACCTTCTCACGGATTCCAACTCATCCAACCAAGTGCTGCTGGAGGGAACTGACTCAGTGTGAGCACATTCTAAGTGAGTCAAGATCCTTACAGGTAGACTGGAGAGGTTAAACAGCAAAGTATATTGATAGTATCTGCAGCTGACATTCTTGAGACAGTTCAGTTTTGCACTGAAATGACTACTCTGAGCCCAGTCTAATTCAAATCCATACACATGAATAGTCCCAGGGTCCCTGAAACATCCTAAGTACTAAAACGTGTGGCTTAGGGATGTGAACTCCTCAGACCCAGGAAACTAGCTGGCCCTGACCCTCCCAAAGAAGCTAAGTACCCACAAGCTTGAGCTTTTAGGTGCCTTGATCAGCACTAGATGACGGCAGCATAAAAAACACTGGGTGGGATGAGGAGACCAGGGCTCTCATCTTGACTATGCAACTAATCTGAGATGGGACTTGCCCAGGAAAGTCTTCTGACTTACAGAATTTACAGGCTCTTTCTGAGTAGCAAATCCGGTGACAAAAGCTTTGCAAAGACTTAATACAGCCACAGTTGATACCCTGAAGGGTTATCTGTGCTGGTGTTCTAACAACTAACTCCAGGGGGTGCTAAACCTCCAGTGATGTGCTCCAAAGACAGTGTGGTCCCCCAGGCAGAAATGAATCACTCTGAAACTGCATCACAAGCACAGGAAGCGCCTATTCAAGGCTAATTTAAGGAATCCCAAGGAGATGAGTTCATAGACCTGGGCTTTCTGTTCATCCAGAAAATGTGGTGGAGATTAAAATCCAAACCAGGTCTTACTGGGAAATATGAGACACTGTTCAAAGGAATGACAGTGAGAAGACAGGTGAAACTGCCTCATGGTCTGGACTGGAACCCTCAGTATCAGCCTTCTAGTGTCCCCCCAAGACTCAAGGCTCAGGTGAGCTTTTCTCGTTACAGTTTAATTTCAAAGATTCTTTTCCTAAGTAGAGGTAAACTGGTTAAGACGAAAGAGCACAGGACCTCAGGCAAGTCACTTGGAAATTCTGGCCTCAGTTTCCCTATTTGTAAAATGGGGATAACTCCTCCTCCCAAAGGTGTGAGGATTACATGAGCTGATTTAAACAGAAAGCCGTGCGACACAGTAACCCACACAAACATCAGCCTCTCAACTCCGCTCCAAACCAGCATGCCAGGCAGACCAGGCTTTGGGAGCAGGTCATGGAAGTAGGACACACTGGAGTCCATGACACAGGGTGCAATGGGACACAACAACTCAAGCTCCAGAGGCATTCTGCTCCAACTATCAAGTGGCCATTACAATATAGAGGCCTACCTGAAACACAAGGTTTGGCAATCTCAAAAAGCACTGTCCCTGTCTCCAAATCGCGAATTTTGAAGCGGGTGAAATCAATACTGTAGATGTTGTCTTCGGGTTTACATAAATAATCTGAAAATGAGAGAGACACATGCTGTTAAATAATTCTCCAAAACTACCACTCACTTATTTCTCAAATTTTGAGGCACACTGAGGTTTTTTTTCTTACACAGCTCTCTTAAAATATACACAAAAACTTACGTTATAAGCAAAAGTTGTGTGTGGAGATAACACTTGCAGAAACAGGAATAAAAAGGCTTTCTTTGAAAACACCTCAAAAATGGCCTACAAACCGATCTATCAACTTGGATGTCACAAAAGGGCACAATTTTTTTTTAAACTTCATTTTAAAACACTTATGCTGATCTTATGGCTAATATAGTGCCTATTCACCAAAATATCACAAAGTAGAGACTAGCTAACTTTTTCTGTAGAATCAGATCATAAATGATTTAGGCTTTGAAGCCACTCAGTCTCTATCACAACTACTCAACTCACAGACAACACGTAAATGAATAAGCATGGCTATATTCTAACAAAACTACTTATGGACACTAATATATGAATTTTATATTACCATGTGTTGCAAGATAGTATTCCCTTTCCCCCCTCAACTATTTAAAAATGGGAGAACCATTCTTAGCTTGTGGGCTGTACAAAATCAGGTGATGGGCCATATCTGCATGGGGAGCAGGACAGGCTTGGTGGTGAAGGTTTTGGGCCAAAGTGAAGTAGCGCCCACAACAAACTAAGCAGCTAATCAAAATAGCATCTATCGATCATAGAAAATTTCACTGATTTCTTTCTGAGATAACTCCTGACAGCATCTTCTCCACAAGTTATTCTGGTACTTTATTTTCTCTTGTCTGCTTGTGTTAGTTGTTTCATGTTTTGCCAGCTGTCTCTCCAGTAAGATGGCAAACTTGAGAGCTACTGATTATTCTGTAACTTCTAAAAAGGCTGAGATAGGTTCTGCATTTTTAGCAGGTACTCAGTAAATAACTTGAACAGAACAGACTTGAAGAAGAGTCACAAGCCCTGGCCAGTGTGGTTCAGTTGGTTGGAGCATTGTCCCAAGCACTGAAAGGTTTCAGGTTCGATTACTGGTCAGGGCACATACCTAGATTGTGGGTTCGATTCCCAGTTGGGGCACATACAGGAGGCAACCGATTGATGTTGTCTCTCACATATATGTTTCTCTTTCTTCTTCCCCCCTCTCTAAAATCAATGAAAATATATCTTTGAGTGATTAAAGAAAAAAGAAGAGTAACAAAATCCAGAGGTCACCAAGCTCTGACCTGTGGCTTTCTCCAGTAAGCTGCAGAGCACCAACCCTAAGCTCCTACACGGGACCTGAGTGCCCACCAAGAATGTTGCTTTGGGCCAGGCATTAGAATGGCCTACTTCATCTCTGATATCAGGATAAAGCATGAGGTTAGAAAGACCAGGTGATGAGCACTTCTGTACCTTCCGAGTCCCAAATGAAAACTGGGTGAGACAGAAGCAGCTTTTTCACAATGTTTCAATGAAAGTGAATAGAAAGACCTCCTAAAGATATACTCAGGTACGCAAAGGACAGTCCCAACCCAAAGAGTGATGAAAAATGGGGACATCAAAATGTCCAGAATCAAATTAAAACTATTTGAGGAGATGGGAATTCCCTTTCATCCAGTCTGGACCAAGGTCCACCCCACCCCCCGACTCCCA